GCATCTTCTTCGAGCTGTACGTCAACAGGTGTAGGTCTTTTATAATATGGTAAAGCTGTGATTGGTTTCCATGTTTTACCATATGCTATTCTGTTTATATCAATAGGTGTAGTATTCATAAAAGCAGATTCTTGGTTTTGTATGGTATCCTTTATAACTGGTTCCACTTTTTGGAGCATCATTGTTTCATGCTCTGGTATTTTTTATTTTCCCTTATCTAAATATTCTGGTAAAGGAACAGGTATATTGGATATAGGAATACTGAGTTTGGGAGAAGGAATTCATTTAATATCTAATTGGGCTAATTTGGCTATTAACTTATCCATTAAGGTTTTATTATTTTCACCGATATGAAATTTATTTTTATTGAGTTCTGGAGGTGGTTTAAACAAAACTGCTTTAAAAAGAGAAGGAGTTATTCCCTTAGATTGAGGAGTAACTAATCATTCTATACGTTCTGCTTGTTTTCCTAAAGATTGCATATATAAATTAGTATAATTGTTTTGTTCCACTATATGCGGTATTAGTTCTTGTTTTTTACCTATTTCTTTAGGTAAGACTTTATATGGTGTTGTAATAATATCATATAGAGATTGTGGTGGTTCTCCTTTGCTTAATGGAGTTATGGCACCTTTGAGTATTATACTTTTCTCAGGAGGGTGTGTACTAGCAGTAGTTGTACCATCCGTACTAATATATGTTTTTTCTTCTATGGTTTGAAGAGTATTAAATGAATGAATGTTTATTTTATATTGAGTACATATTTCTTGTAACCATATAAAAAATCCTTTTAATTCTCTTTCTTTTTTCAAAAATTTATTATATTTTTGATGGAATAATTCTATTAACCTAGGTTGGAAGGTTTGAAGATATCATTCCCTAATACCTTGATTTTCTGGAGAAATATAATCTTTTTTGAGTTAATTAATATCGATCTTTCTCTTTTTTCGTTCTAATTTAGCAGCTAAATATGTTGTTATATATGTATCATATTCATTATTAATATTTATTTCTCCTTTTATATCATTTTCTATTTGTAATGTAAGTATTTGAAATTCCTCAATGTCAGGTTCAAATGTATATGTAGAAATGACTACATGATCAGCTGTTCTTTTGACTCCTTGTAATTGAAAGTCTGAAGATGGTGTAGGTGTTGAAAAAGAAGGAAGTATGGTAACATCGGGAGTAGTATGACAGGATTTTTTAGCAGGTATTAATGGTTTTTT